TTTTTTTTTTTTCAACCCACTATTGGCTATGGCTCTCGTTGGTACACCTGATCTATTTAATATTTATCTATAGATATTTTAATAATTATAATTACGCGCTTTAAAGGAGAAAGTAGAAGGAAAGTGATTATCATATATAAAATGAAAAAGGAAAAAGAAAATATAAAATTTACTAATATGTTGTCACATGTTCATGAGAACGAGGGTTGTCATCTATGCTTATAATCGAGCTCGACGTGCTTATATAAAAAGGCGGGACAAGGGTAGCGGTAGCATTAGTTGGGAGTTGGATGTACAAACGAACGTGCAGCGGGCATGCAGTTAAGAACAACAAATATGGATAAGACATAGGCACGACTTAGAAACAAAGACCGAGCAATAATAATAATATTTACTAACTTCGCTTTTGTTTTCTTGCATAACTGACGGCCGCCTGTGTGGTCTATCGCAACTTATCTTTTCAACACGCGATCTTTATCATTGGTGCTTTAATTGGAATGTCGATTATATATCACCATGACAACTGAGAACATATTGATTGTTAGGAAGAGAGAGTGTGTTCCTTAATGTGGATGTACAACCAACGTGATTCGTGGTTGAGTCACGCCAATCAGTATTTTGAAACTAATGAAATATCAAAGTCGGAAAGGATAAAATTCATCGCCTACTACCTTGATGGAGAGGTAAGCGTATGGTAGCAGTGGTTATTAAGGATTTATAAAATGAGGGATACTCGAATTCGTCGAAAAAATTTCAAAAAAGAATTAATTGCGTTGTTTGGGTCGTCAGATTGTCATGAGTACGATGAAGCCCTCCCGTATACTAAGCAAACTGGGAGCTACATGAATACCAAAAAAAGTTGAACACATTGCGAGTCGGGTTCATGATTGCCCAAAGGAGCACTAGTCGGCGCGTTTGTCAGGGGTCTAAATCCCAAGGTGCTACTGGAAAGGCCAAGGACCATGCGCTCAACAATAGAGGCCGCCTATATGCGCAATGATCACCTTGCAGTCGTGTGAAAGGCCATCGACTAGGAGTTCGACAGTCAGACCCTTTTCCCAACGACTCACGAAAAATTGGAGAGGAATCGCCGACGGTAAGCGCAAGATCTATACCCAGAGAGGTTAGGCGACTGCCCTAGGGCGAGATGCAGAGACGACATGAGAAAGGCTTTTTCTTCATCTGTGATGAAAAGTTTGTTAAATGTCATAAATGCAAAGAGAGAGAGAGACCTTTTTAATTGAATGTGTGGTTCCGAAGAGGAAGAACAAGAGGAAGTCGAACTGAAGTATGATACTGATCATCGTGAGGATGGCCCAGAGATATTGATTCATGCAATGGAGAACCCAGGGTCTGAAGACAATGAAGTTATCAGCATGGGTTCGGGATTGCCGAGTGGTGGTACTAGTCGATACCGGCTCGTCTTACAATTTCATCAACTAATCTCTTTCCAACAAACTTCACTTTCCTGTGACTAACGTCGTTCCATTTGACGATAGAGTCGCTAATGTGGAACAGCTAAGGTGCTTTGAATTCCTTCAGAGCGTGCCCATTAAGTTGCAAAGGCGTGACGATAAACACCGACGTTTACACATTGCCAAGTGTAGGACCAGATGTCGTCTTGGAAGTTCAATGCTCGAATCCAACTATCCACTTATATTATGTGGTGGCTTTGGAAAGCCCGCAACTTATGGGTCTTTTAGGACGTGTGGTTGAGTGATAGAGACATTATACAGTCTTCTTTGAGAGTGTGGATTGAGAGCATCTCCAATGCTATAATGTTGTTATAGAAATATTTTTGACAAGTGTCGAAAAATTAAATAGATTTTGAACCATGTAAGACAAATGTTGAGTTCACAACTATTAAATTAAAAAAATCATCTCTATTGCACAATATTGCCTAATTACAATATTATCTACTTGTCAAATAATAAAATTTAATATTAATTAATTAAATTAATTAAATATTTTGAAATAGTAATAATAATTCTCTCTTTTTTTTTCTCATTGGCTAACTAGAGTGTGGAGTAGAATGTGAATGAACCACATTATTCTCTACATTGTAAACATTAATTATGTCTACATCATCACAACATTTGTAATCACATTATACATTGGAGGATGGAAAATTGTGATATTAATAAATGTGTTGATATTGAATGTAATTTACCAATACAACATTGAACATTGAAGATCGATGCTCTGAGTTGTTGTTGTGCAGTACACATTCTTGCAGCTTTGCAGGGGGATTGGAGCCTAGGTTTATTATGTTCAGTTGTCTCATTTTCCCTTGCAGCTTTTGTGTGTTTAGCTTTCTGGTTGTTTGTGTGGTTTGATGTTGTTGGTTTTTAGACTAAAGGAGTCAAATGGTAGTGTTTACCTAGTTGTTATGCATAGTGTGTTTGGTGTCCAGGCCACTTGCTTAAGGTGGTTCTCCTCGTGTTTTTTATTTATTTAATTATCTTATTCTATTTTAATTTATTTTTTGGTTTATTCATATTGGTTAGTTGGGCTACCGGTTGTAAGATTTTTTTCCAGTTGTTCATGGAGGTTCAATACCTTTTACAAAAAAAAAAAGAAAAAAAAACATATATATTTTTTTTTAAATTAACGCAAATATTAAAACGTCCTAACAAATGACAATCTCAAATAAGTATAGATATTAAATCTTGTTTGAATTTTTAAAAAATAAATACATTGAGGCTTTATAAATCTTAGAAAAAGTCTTTTAAAGTCGAAGTTAAATACATCAATATTCATAATCTTAAAAAGTTTTTAGATACATCAAAACTGATCAAATGATATTTCATTGTAAATAATAACTTTCAACCAATGTACTGAAAACCGAACCGGACCAACCGGGAATCAGCTAGCACATGTCCGGTTTAAGTTGTAGAACCGCTGGGACCCAAATCCATCTTCAAACCGTTCGGTTAAAAACCATAACGGTTCAGGCAGCCAACGATTCAGTTTTAAGCTTTGCTAATAAGTGAGTGTAAAAACAGTTATCTAGTAGACTTTTCTTGTTAGTGTACCCGATGTGGGATATATTCTCATGCATTTTATGAAATTATTAGCCGTTGGCCTTACATACTAAGTGAACTCATTAAAAGTAATAGTTATCACTAGTCTATTATTGAACTGGGTTGTATCTATGAGCTAAAAATATGCATAAAAAACCCATTAACTTTTGAAAATCCCAGGGATAACTTTTATTGGGCATCAGAGGAGTCGATCGCGGAGATGGAGGAGAGGAACAGCGGGAGGGCGTCGGCTGGGAGGGTCCGCGTGAAGGATTCTTGCTCCGATGCGAATCAATTTTAAGCTTTGCTAATAAGTGAGTGTAGAATCGATTATGTAGTAGACTTTTCTTGTTAGTGTACCCGATGTGGGATATATTCTCATGCATTTTATGGAATTATTGGTCATTGGCCTTACATACTAAGTGATCATTAAAAGTAATAGTTACCACTAGTCTATTATTGAACTGAGTTATATGAGCTAAAAATATGCATAAAAACCCATTAACTTTTGAAAATCCCAAGGATAACTTTTATTGGGCAATGGTAACAAAATTCTATAACCAATTTATTCAATGTTAGATGAGAACCTTAGTTAACACTAATATATTTTGCACCGTAATTGACTAGATGCTTATACATGCTTTTTAATTCTAAATAATTACCAATTTATTATATTGAAAAGAAAGCAATTCATTGTAATTCACATATTTTTTTTTAATTTAAAATATAATTTATAAATTAAAATACAAACCTACTTGTATATCTTCTTAACTTAAATATATATTAAAATTAAAAATAGTAAAAATAAAATAAGAAAAAGTTATCAACATATTCAACATTGTCGGATGTATCTATTATATTTAGAAAAATATCATTATACACTATAAAATTACTGAGAAAATATATAAAATTATATATTATACATATAAAATTAATAAAAAATTATATATTAATTAAACCGAGTCGATTATTGGTCTGACCGCTGAACCATTGAACCGGTAGCTTCACCGGTTCGATGACATGTCCGTTTTTCAGAACCTTGATTTTAATAGTGTATAATAGATTTATTTCATTTTATTATATATTTAATTTATAAAACATATCTAACATATTGTTTTTGCCGCCGTCGTACATATGTACTAGTTTTATTTATAAAAGAATGATTTTCTTTTTCCATTACTCGGTCACATATTTATATTCATCTATTTTGTCCAATCACAATTTTACTCTTTAAATTTAAAATCAACAATACATCATTATATTTCATATTATGTCAACTTAAAACTCTATAAATTTTCATTCTTTGAGAAAATATTCATTTCCATTCCTAACCAACAGAAAATTCGTATTCAAATAAAAGGCGGGAAAAGAAAAAAGGAAATTCGTTTTCGCATTTTATTTTATTTATATGATATTATCGTTTCGAAAAAAAGGAATAAAAGAATAAAAGACGAGAAAATATTTGTCCAAAAAATAAAGAAATAAATAAATAAATGCATTAACAAATAAAGATTCGAAAGAAGGATTATAACATCAATGCACAAAATCTCTAAAATTGAGCTTTAACCATAAATTTGAGCCAGCAGTAGTTGAATTGGCTCAAAGGAAGAAACATATGAAGAACAAAATATTTAAACCATCTTCTCACCGATGTAGATTTAAAGTACATATGGCTAAGTCTGTTGCTGTAAAGGTTTGCCCAAACCTAACAGAAGTATGCTAATAAATCCACCAGAGTAATAGAAGAGAGAATTCCAATCTCACCATCCTATTCCAATTCCAGTTCAGTACAAGATCCAGTCAGTCGATTTCAAAATATAATCGCTAATCATTCTGATCCAAAGGGTCGACTAAGAACATTGTCCGGTGCTCCAAGTTTGTATGTTACAATCCAGCAGATTTCTCCAACTTCTGGATTTGGTTCAGGAATATCCATGTCATCTGTACAAATGAAACGAGCATTTTAACTTTTTAGGGAAAAAATAAATCCACAATAAACGGAACAAGTTTGAATTGCATTTCTGAGAGACAGAGAGAAAGAGAGAGATGACTATGCTATGGGAGGGTACCATGACATGAGGCGCGATTCGAACACAATACACAGGAAATCCTGTATAGAATTTGAAGGGCCCACCCGACTTGAGTGTCTTCATGGCACAATCAAGAGAACCAGTGTATGGATATTTCCCTTCGGCATCTGGCTGCATTTTCTGTATTTGGGTCTTCACATAATCAAATGGCAAGCTACAAGCTGACGCAAAGAATCCCGATACAGAACTAGCCCCTGAAGAAAGATTGAAAAAAAAAAGAAGAATAAAATATTGTAGTTGCCAAAAGTCCATATTACTAGGTTTGTTCAAAGCATTTTCACGATCTTTTACCAGATAAGACGTCCTTGGAGATTAATAAGATGTTTAGAGTATTGTAAGTGTTTGTCATGGAACTAATATGTAAATAGTGATAATTAATTGAGATAGTTAAAATTACATAACGAAGGAGTTAAAAAATGTTTAATATAATAAACAAGGTTGCATTTTCTGACTTTTCTGTAAACAACTTATACACTACCAACACCTTATTTAGGAAGTTCAGATAATCTCACCTAGCACTGTGGCAGCCTCACCAAAACCAAGAGAGTCCTTGAAGAACTCGACACTCTGGTCATAGGAAGCAAGCATGCCCATGTTAAGCGCCATTGCCCTCACAACTGTGGGGCCCGCACCTTTCCACAGAGCAAGGACACCTTCATCAGCTACGATACGGTAAAGCGCATGGAATGCGTTCGTGTAATTCCGCCTTTGGGCAGCTGGTAAAGTCGCATCGGCTTGCATGCGTATGAGTGCTAGATCAGCAGGGCTGCCAACGGATGCCCCAATCGCACCTGCCGTCAGCCCACACAACGCCTTCTGATAAAGAGGTAACGGCTTCCCATCATTCGCCTCCACTGCCTTGGCCGTCAAAATTCTAGAGAGGAGATTGGTTAGCAGAAGAGCAATACCGGAAAACCAAATTCTCACTGTTTCTGATGTTCGATTCTCGCATATATTCTTCAGGCAGTAGTGTGAGGACAATGAAATCAATGTGATAGCATTAAAGAGTTTTATATTTTAATTTTAGTCGTTTCGTTTGCCAATAAACACACCTCACAAAGAAAAATTATCGGCCAAGGGGCGTTCGAAATCATGGATTCTTGTATAAAACCATTTACCGTGTGTTTGTAGTCAAACTGCACCAGCATACAAAGTCTAAATATATCGTAATTCAGATTCAGTGGCGTTTTCTCATTTTTTTTTTTTTTTAAACAATTTTTATATGCAACTTAAAACCAAGAAATCATGGTCTAGCACCCAAATACCCTAAGGGACGAAAAGGCGTGGATTGCCCATGCCAGGTAACACAACTAGAAAGCTCGTTAAAATTCAACCGTGAAAAAAATAGCAGATCTTATGGTAAACTAACACTCGTCTGCACATGCAGTATAGAGCGAAGGATGAGCAATAGCAAAAGAAACGAGCGGTAGCTTTCAGCCATGAAAAGCACAATGACTTTTTTGTCCTCAGACAATCAAAATTCCACTTGATTAATTTCAACATGATCATGAATCAATGAAGCTACAAGGCCCACGGAAAATACGTACTTGAATGATCCAAGACGTGCTGTCGTATATGTAGCCTGTCTAAGAAGCCCAGCAGACAAACCCTGTACACAAACAACTTGTTATATACAAAGGCATGTCACAAGAGGGTTGAAATTGAAACGCCACACATACTTAAGCCTCTTATATGTTCACATTGAACCCATAAAATGAGCCAACAGAGGTTATTCATATAAAAAATATAAGGAAACAAAGGTGTATAAGCATCTAGCAAAATTAGGAAAATAAATTGAAAATATAGAATTCTCAGATTTTTCCAATTCAACAACAAAAGATGTGCAGAAACAATTTGCAATGCCACCTAGTGAGGCCCAAAAATAGTACCTCCACTACATTAAAATTGAATTTTCCTTACACAAAATACAGACCACTACAAAATTGTTCCAGGAAACCTATCCACTGATCTAGAATTATTCGATTATTCTTAAGTAGTGAGTCGAATAACTCCTTGAAATTCCGAATGCATATCAATTTCACGTTCGTCAACTTAAAAAATTACAGCTCCAAATATAAATCATGAACCATACGTAGAGTGCTGATTCAAACAACTAAAAACTATTTCCAGTTAAACTCTTACTATGCCACAACTAGCTACGTCCAACAACTAAGCAATTTAAAGTGACCCTCGCACACCTCAGTAAAACAAAATATAGCTTGATGATTGAACTAATGTAGGCTAGCCAACATCATCACATTACATTTAAATAAGCACTGTTGAAAATGTCATTCAACCACCTCCGCAATCACTAGAAAACTAATCATGTAGCGCAAACGAATACCGGATACCAACTCTAATCCCCAAATTACAACAACTTAACAATCCCACTCATCTTTAAAGGGTCAATGACAGATATCCAAAACAATGAAAAAGCACTGACCTTGTAAAAAGCACCTACACCTTCATTTTTTAGCATGTTTTTGGTCACCTCAGCAGCCGAACCCTGGCCAAGCTGTATTCTCACCTGAAATTCAAGAAATACACCTCGCAGATAAGAAAAAAAACAACACCCTTAACCTCATATAAACACAAAAACGACGTCTCAACGTCTTCCACGAACAGAAATGAGATCTGAAATCTAGCTTCCATGAGAAGCATCTCACAAAAAACATGATATGAAGCGACCCAATAAACACAGAAAACGCAAAAGGAAAAAGACCCATTTGATCAGAGATGGAAAATGAAGCCTAGAGCCAAAATTAGTGAACGTAAAATCAAATTACTGCGAGAATACAAAGAGAGAAAAAAGAAAAACTGAAAAATTCAGTCGAATTTATACAAAGACTCCCAATGGTATACACGCGTGCACAAAAGAGTAAGTACCTTAATCATATCAATGGGCTGTATAACACAGGTAGCAAGCATACCGGAGGCACCGCCATTGACGAACGGCTTCACCGTTGTCCAAGCTCCAGTTGATTTCGGCTTCTCTTCTCCCATTTCGTTATTGCTTTTTCCTTTCTTTTGATCCCTTCTAATTTCTTCCCAAGCAGAGCAGCTAGTGACCAGACAGAGTAATGAGTCTGTGGTGAACAATGAGGGCTCATGTTGGTGAGTGGTGACTAGTGATTGTGGTAATTAATATTTAAATGTAATAATATTTAAATTGTGCTAACATATTAATATTTAAATTCAATACAATTATATATAGGGAGGCAAATGACCTAAAAACATTGTACTAAAAGTAGGATTTTTTGATTTAAATAAAAAAAAAATTACTGGACAAAAATTAAAAAGAAAAAAAACGTGTGGATCAAAATAAAACAGTCGGATTCTCATAATACGTTTTTTAAGGTAAACCGTATTCTCGAAATCCGTTTTTTTATAGTAAAACGTATTCCAAGAATCTGTCTTAATGTAATATAATTATAAATCGTAATAAATCGTAAATAAGTTAATTAATCATGATTAAAATTAATAAAAACATATAACTCAAATACGTTTCTAGGACAACGTATTTCAATAATACGTGTTTTAAGAAAAACGTATTGTCATAATACGGTTTATTATTAAAATTAATTTTCCAATTTAGAAAATTATTTATTTGCGAAAAATAAATTTATTAAATTATAGGACGTATTTTCAAAATACGTATTTATATAAACGTATTTTCGAAATACGTGTTTACTATGATTTTGCCCCAAATTGATTTTGCCTTAATTTTTGCCCCAAATTGATTTTGACCTAATTTTTGCCCTAAATTAAAACGTATTTCCGAAATACGTTTTTTTTCTAAAAAATAAGTATTTCAAAAATCTGTTTTACTGTATAAAAAATTTCCTGTTGAAAGTAAATAATAATTATAATACCTGTTAATCGATATCGATTCAACAACATTCCACAAGCTCATATCAATCCATCATTCAAAGAAAGAAAAATCAACCACAATAATATATTCAAAATATATAGATGTCCAAATATCATTCCACGTAATCCACCAAAAAAAAAAAAAAAAAGTTCACAAAATTCTCAAAATACAAGCTAACTAGAGGAAGGAGTGTATATATCCGGAGGTCTACGCTGTCGGGACCCCTTCCTAGGAGGCCTCTGTCCTGAATAAGACGAGGCTATGTTCGTGATAGGTGTGACAGCTTCTTCTTCTTGACCTGATTAATTAATTATTTACAAAAAAATCAGAAAATCGACTTGACAAAACAAAAAGGAAATAAAAAAAACATTTTTTTTGTTAAGTTAAAAATTATCACCTTCTTCGTCTTCCTCATACCCAGTGTCGTCAGCGGGTTCGCGGGCACGACGTATTCTACCTCCACCAATGTTGAGACCTGGTCGATGCCTCGCCCGATGTGACTGTGTCGCCTGTGGAGGGACGTAGTCTTCTTGAGATAGAAGTTGACTAGACGACCCCCCTTGTCTGAACTCTTGCCCTCCAACAGTCATAGAACTGTAGAGGAGGTTCTGGGTCTTGCGAAGTGCAGTCTGCAACTCTGAATGGGTTGTATCCCATAAGTGCTCAACACCATGTAAGATGTTATAAGCCCCCCTCCATGGCACCATACTGGAAATAAAATTCAAAGATAATAAAATTAATATGAAACACCAAAAAAAATAAAAAATAAAAATATAATAATAATAATAATAATAATAATAATAATAATAATAATAATAATAATAATAATAATAATAATAATAGAATTCACAATTTAGGAACTTACGTCACACTTTTGCCGCTCGGCAATTGGCTGATAGCAGCCGTCATGTTGGACCACCGGATAGATGTTAGGGTCATTGATCAGTCTCACCGTCCTACGGTGATACCAATCCATGTAACCCTCCTCAGGCTCTAGGAAATTATCCACAGGTTGATGTGGGAGGACATGTTGGTCTCTCTGTTCGGCCCAAGTCTTCCCGAGCTCCGAATAAAACTCGGCCCAATCAGTATATGCCCTCCCAGTCATTTCCTGGCCTCCGTGGCGTGAGTCCATTCGGCCATATTCCTAATGAGCGGAGTTGGGGGGATGGACTGGTAACATCCGAACTGCCGGAGGACCCTATCAGTCTCGAGGGTCTCAACGATGTTCCAACAAAAGATCCACCCCTTGTACATCCAAACATGTGGATCATCTAGACACTGGTCCGGAAGAGAAGAAGAATCCGCGATGAACTCTGTATAGGGCATCCAATCGAACTGAAAAAAAAAAATTGAATTAAGAATTAAGTTATAAAAATTCTAAAAACAATAATAAAAAAGATGGGATGAATCTGCAGAACGTAAGAATCTTACATCCCCTTCTCTCAGCCCTGTCAGTTGATCCCGGACAGCGGCCGTTCCCTTGGCTAGGTGTTTCAGGTCCTTTTTTCCCACCCACCTAAAAAAATCACAGAAAAAAAAGCATTGTAATTAGAAAATGTAATAATAGAAATAAGTTAAATATTAAATATAAATAAATGTTATTCATACCTTGCTCCTAAAGGA